GGAAGGCGGGCCTTCATCAAACCCAGAACTAATCGAGCCGTTTGTGCCAGGATGGGGAGAAAGGTATTGTAATAATGTAAATTATGTAAAAAAAAATTATTTGTTTTTCGAACCACCAAGCATGAGAGCATGTTCTAGTACACCCCCAAAACAAATTCAAGCCATTGTAAAAGAGCATAATAGGACCCCTTTAATATGAGTAGTGGCACTAAGGTATATGTAGCTGTCATTTTAATGAAATGTTGTTTATAGCTATGTTAGCTTGAAGACACATTTGCCTTAACCCTCTATGGTACCGTGTTGACACTGGTAAGTAAAGAAGTATTTTGAAAAACTTTACATAATATATCATAAAATGTATCACAGGAAATTACAAAAAACTGCATGTTGCCTTGAGGCAACATTGTACTGCAATGGAATGGCATAAGGCCATGCAGGCATCGTAGGTTATAATACAAGTATATGATATAATGTAAGAAAAAGAGCTAGAAAAGAGCTATTATCTAAATCTATTTGAATTTTTGCTTGATTTTGTTATGCATTTATAAGAATGGCAATTTACATACTATATCTGCACATTATGATTTTCTGTTGAGGGTAATTGCTTCCTCAACTTTCACAAGCAGTCAGGTGCCATGTGCTTGTGCACACGCAGGTCCTTGTGTGTGCATGTGCATGCTTGCAAGGATCAAGTGCATATTAGGATAAGGTTATTGTGATTTTGAATGTTTTACCTTGAAACAACATTCATTGTAATATTTTGACATGATAACTTGATATGATGGTTTGGTTATATTCGTGATCCACGATGGTACAATGTTGCCTAAAAGCAACAGCTGGATATGATATGTTAATTTTTATTAAATATGAGATGTGTAATACATAAAAAAATTAGATAAATCTGGATGTTCAAGTGTTTGGTTAAATAAATTTATGTTTTCAATAAATATATTTATTTGTCAAATGTTTCAATTTGTCCATTCTGGTACAATGTTGCCTTGAGGCAACAAACTTTTAATAAATACATGCATTTAAAAATTATGAAAATGTTTATTGATACTGTAATAGTGTCTAATTTTAAGCAGGAAAAACATCACAAATAATTTTTTTCATTTATATCATATTGCATACCATACAGTGACCCTTTTTGTCTTTGTCTTTACAATTTGGTAAAACTTCCCATCCCTAATCAACAGATTAAACATGTGAGGGTTTGTAAACACAAACCTGAATCTCCTGGTTGAGTTTAGCCAGACTGCGCACAGATGACTCTTTGAGCTTAAGCAGCTTAGATTGATCTTGAAGCTTCTTCTTTAACTCAGTGATTTGACCTTCCAGCTCCTGAAGTCTCTTCCTGCGTTGTTCACTCAGTCTAGAGTGAAACAAGACAAAACAAGACAATACAAGAGAATGGAAATGTTAAACTATCATTAACATGCCATTGTGTTGCAGCAGTAAAACTGGCAGTTCAAGTTTAGAGAGAAACCAGCACAGATATTGAGTTACTTGGCCTGATTGGTGTCCTTCTTAGCAGACTGCAGAGCCTGGATGAGATCTTCCTTCTCTTTCTGCAGAGAGCCGACCGAAGCCTGCAGACTTTGAATATTCTCCTGGAGATGTGAAACAAACATTTCAACACCACTTACATGGCATTCACCAATATCATTTTTATGATTTGGTTTTCAGCCTTACCTGATACTCTGTTTGCATGGGCTCCAAATGATTATCATTCTGACACATCTTCTTGACAAAAGCCTCTTTTAGCGCCAAAACGTTATTGAGCTCAATCAGTTCTTTCGACATCTGAGCCTGTCGCAGTGCATGCTGGGCTGTGTAGGCTTCTGGAGAGTCTTTAGCTTGAGGATCAGCACAGATTTCCTAAATTGTTATGGATGAGTGAATAAAAAACTAGTGTAAAGGCATCATCAAAAATGCTCTGACTAGACATCTGTTGGGCATATTAGAAAAAGGTGTAGCATATTGTAAACTACACTCAAATGCAAAAATGATAATTATGTCATGATTTACTTACCATCATATTGTTCTAAAGCCAAAACTTCCTTTCTTACATTAAATAATTTATTTAGCAGGACGTTCAGTGAAGTCAGTCAGTAAAGCTCAACCACATTCGTTTTCATTACACGTAAAAAGACAGGCTGAACATTGCGAAACATCTACTTTGAGATCCACAGAAGGGAAAAAAAAATCATACAGTTTTAGGTTGACAAGAAATAATTTATGATAACTTTATTCTACTCCTATAATATGCGAATGAGAAAAAAAATTAAGAATGAGAAAAAAATCTTGTGACAAATATAGAAATCTTATGATTTTAAACACATACAGTGTTGGGTAAGTTACTTTCAAAAAGTAATTACTAATTACATCAATATTGTATTTAAATTACTTCTAATTGCTTCTAATTACTCTGCATGAAAAGTAATTTTACTCAATAAGTAACTGAATTACTCGAATCGTTAATTGCATCTTAAAATCCCTATAAACCTTGATGCATAGACAATAAAAATGAAAATCTTTCTTTCAATTAGAGTCAAACATGGAACGGTTTTGCCGTTTAGCTTTAAAACAACTGTAATACTTAAACATTTTAATTAAAAAAAAAAATGCAATCTTCTTTGGTTAACAAATAGAATTACTCTGCAAAATACCTGAATAACAAAAAAGCTTAAGGAAACTTAAACAATACATGTATCAAGCTGTAAGCATTACATTTTTCAAAGCAATGAGTACCATATTTCATACACACTAAAATGTATTGGCAGTCACTAAAACTAATTTTGCATACTACAAAAAAAAAAAAACAACAACATGATTTTGTACTGTCATTCATGCACACATACTTTGTATTACCACACAGTATATAAACAACATTCTGATATTTTATAAACTAAATTTTTATTGCTTAGTACATTATAAACATCGACATCTGATAGTAGATCAGTAAACACTGATCTAAATATTCCTAGACTGTAGCATTCATCATGCTGCAGTGTAAACATTCACATTACTTATTGACATCCTCGTTTCATACGACATTTAGCCTATATGTAATAAAAAGTTGCCTAAATATCTGAATGTATCTCATATTTCAGCACTTGCTTTCACACATTTCAGTTTGGCAAGACAGTTTAAAGCCCAACTAGTAAACTGCATACAAGTTTATGTAAAAATAACATGTTAACTAATGTAAGTAAGAATAGATTATAGAAATTATATCCTCCGCTGAATAAAGCCGCGTCAGATCATGCTGTTCTTCTGAGGTAAATTCTGGCTTATTCCTCATAGCAGTTCTTCTTCCAAAAATGAAGCAGAGTAGATTAATTTTGATATTTTGATTTAGTATCTAGGTGATGAGGGTGTTTGCATGCAAGTATGGCTGCAGATAATGAGCTCAGACAGGAAAGACTGTACCTCGCATTGGTTTCATACGGATTACATAATCAGAGAATATTAATTTTCAATTTGAATTGGTTCATTTAAAAGTAAACATTTCAAGTTTTCTATAGACATATTTCTCATGTCTGTGTGTCAAGTATTCGCTGAGTTTTGGTTTATTTTTGTGACATGTTTCAGAAAGAAGTTCACGGAGACCGAGATGGCAGAAAGCGCACCCTGTTTGTTTTGTTTCAGGGTTTCTGCAGGATTTTTAAGCTCAAATTTAAGACTTAAGACCTTTTTTAAGACCTGCAAAAATAAAATTAATACCATATGAGCGGGGTATGGCAATGTCTATAGCACCATATTAAACTGTAAAATTACTGTAAAAAGCATAATTTACAGTTCAGATACAAGTTTTCAAAAAAACAGTTTTATAAAATGATAAACTTTACATTTCAGCCTTTAAACCATTGTTAAGAAAAGTCATTTAAAAGTCAAAAGTATTAATTATATTAATTTAAACAATTATTATCAATTAATTATTATATCAATTAAATAACAAATTAGGGGTATGCGATATTGACAACAAATGATATATCGATAATTTTCTGGGATTTTATCGATAACGATAATTAGATGATATTTTGCTGAGTGTGTTAATGTGCTGACTGCTGACTCCTGAATTATTTGATATTCTTCATATTCTGTGTGGTCAGTTTACAGCAGTAGTAGAAATTAATAATTTCCAACAGGTTTTATGGGCATTTTTACCTTTAAGCCATTTTTTCTAAAAGTGTGCACCATCTTTTGAGTCAAATTCTTGCATTTGGGTTGTTACCAAGCAAATTAAATCAGTATCAACAAAATTTATCTTTGCAATGCAGAGGAAACACAGAAGCTGCATTAGAAGTGGCATTTCGATGCATTTACACAGTTTAATGTAGCTCTGAGGGACATTAAATACTTTAACCTGCAGTTACAAATGCATAAATAATGTTTTGATATTTTAAACATAAAACATTGAAAGCTGATGTTTGAAATTATTAAAAAAATGAAAAGGTACCTTAAATGTGAAATTAAAACCGCCAGTAGGTGGCAGCAAGTCACTGTTAAGTGAGTCATTGCGATTGAACCAAATCATTTAAACGGTTGATTCATTCAGGAACAAAACAGGTCATGTTGCTCAGAGACGCAAAACAGCGCTGTGGCTGTGCTTAGAATTATTTTTGTTGGAGAAATATTGTAAAAACAGGAACTCTTTGTGTGATATTAACTATATCAAATGATATAAATATATACATTTTGTGTCCCATATCTTAAATTATGTGATAATTCTAAATGCATTTTAATAGACTGATTCATGCAGTGAAAGAACGCACTCTAAATGCACATGCGCACTAGTCTAACCTGGTAGACTTCATCACCTAATGTATGCGCGCACTCTGTAGGTGTTTTGTTTGCTTTTCGCGATATACTCATAATATCAAATCGCACATCGTTAAAACAACAATTACGATATTATCGCAGACCATACATCTCGCACACCCCTATGTTTAGATTTTTATAATGCATTGTCTTCTTATCGATCCACCAGTTCACATTTAAAGCTCTGCGTGTTTGCAGGGTAAAAACATGGGTCGATTTTCGCATTGGTCTGAACTCTGAACTAGGGCTGTGCAATTAATCGAAAAACAGTTTCGATTTAGATTTTGGCCTCCAACGATTATGAAAATACAATAATCGAGATAAAACGATTATTGCGCCCATTCCGCCCCCTTTTCCAGCGCTGCGTGTTCGTTCCTTCAGTTTCACGTGCAAATCAGTAAAATCATGTAACGTGAGCGCTCAGAGACGGAACACAACACGGACATGTAAAGTCATTTTTTAGCTCAAGGTGCGCGCTTTTAAACGATCAAATACACGCAAAAATGCGTCAAAATGCGACGCTTAGTGATTATTCATGTATACCTTCGTCGGTCATATAATAAATGAATGTAAAGAGTTGAGAATGAAAATACGCGTGTAATGGTAACTTGGATCCGTGCGGCTCTTAAAGTGACAGCAGCCTAATAATCCTGCTGCTGACTGTGTGCTTCATATTAATCAAACAACAAAACACAAAGAGAAAATCACTCACTGCTTTTCACACGGGTGTTTGTGTGTGTGTGTGTGTGTGTCTTTGTGTGTGTGTGTGTGCGTTT